GGAATTCCAATACACCAAAGGAACCGAAAGTTACTCTCGCGGAAATCTGACTTGGATAAATAATTAAATTGTTTGAATAAATGAATGAACTTAATAAAAATTATTCAAATGAATATATAGTTTTTTAATTAAAGAATAGATTTTATTAAATTTGAAAAATATGACGAAACCTCTTTCCAATTCCGATCTCATAAATATTGACAACGAACTGGGAGAATCGGATTTAAAATCCATTAAATTCATATGCAGGGGCATTATTCCGGTGAAAAAATTGGAAGACATTAATTGTGGTTTTCCCAGTTTGGTAACAAACTTTTTGGAACGCAAACCGCATCTCGACAACCTTAAGATTGTCGGGCAGTTGTTGTACCTCATTAGGAGGAACGATTTGTTGAAAAGCATTGGTCTTGACAAGGATGAAGTCAAACATTTCATTGACAACGGTGACAGTCTTTTTGATACGTTCAGGTTGGTTTTTTTTATTTCTGTATTTTTCCATGAAAAACATTTTACCTTGTGATTCTCATCATATATAGATCGTAGTGTCTTTGAGTGTATTTAAAAGAAACATTTAAATTCTGAGCACAACTAGTACACAAAAAATAGTCTCCATGGAATCAAACTTTGTACTTCAAATTCTAACGATTAAATTAAAACTAACGATCCTCAAAAATAAATAAAAACATCACAGGCTAATGAACTAATTCATGGGGTTTACGTAAGGAAAAACTGTGATCTGGTAAGATATTCGGGCTGCTGATGAGGACCTCGCTAGAGACGAAACACATGTCCAGCCTGTCCAAACGAATACTATTCTTTTTTCTTTTCACTCCTACTCACTGCTCTTCTTGGTTTAGTTTTCTCCTCATACAATAGGGCAACCACAACAGTACCATATTTGAAAATACTTATCTCTAGTTTTGAACTGAATCTAGTCTAGTCTTGGTCATAATCTTCCAGCTTTACATGAAAGTGAGAACAGCTTAGAGTTCACACATTCACTGCATTTTGTTTTTAATCAGGGTATCATCAGTTGGCAGATAAGTTTTGAGTGCAAATGACTTTTATGTTTATGTGCTATAGTTCAATTTCTATAATTAAATATTAGTATCCAAAAATATTAATGTATTGCTCTAACCATTAAATGAAAAAGAGTTATATCAAATAAATAATTTATTCTGACTACATTCAACAAAATTGTTAAATAGTTTAAATTAATTTTTTTTTATCTACAGAGTCCAAGTTTTATATGAATTATGCCTTGATATGAGTCAGGATGAACTGAATAACTTGAAATTTTTTTTTTCTGATCATCCAAAATTCAAGTTAAAAGCAATTCTAGATGCAGAAGATTTATTCATTTTCATAGAACAATTATATCCAGATGTTGATGAACTCCGCAAATTACTCGTTAACACCTTTAAATCCTTGAAGTATCATCATCTGTTAAAAATAATTGACAGTTTCATTTCAAAATCAGGTTTCACTTTTATTGTTAATTTTAAGGACTTGTCCCAGTTTTTACATTTCCCATTTCCACTCTGATGTGTTTTTTGCATTTGATTCTAATATTTCAGTCGTTGCATGTGGGGGATATCATTCCCAAAGAATTCAGCAAGGTATCTAATTTTTTCCTATTTGAATTTTTTGAACAATTTTTGCTGTAAGTTGCCTGTGAGAGAATGTTTTGTAAATCAGTCTTAAATAACTTTTGATATTAGCTTTTTTGTTGCATTTTGCATGATTGCAAGTAGTAATTTTTTGGATCATCACATATGAGTTTAATCTCATTTCTTACTCAGTTTTTTTTATAACATTTTTTCTGTTGGGGATTTTATTTATCAAATTATTTTAACAAATTGAAATTTTTTGTCTTCTCGTCATTAACGTGTCATGTATGTGAATTAATTTTCAATTTGTTCTTCCTCTCTTTAAACAGAGACAAGTGTAGAATCACAGTTTGACGTCAGTCTTTCAAGTATGTTAAATAAGATGAGCACTTGCAATGATGATAAATCAGCATATAATCCAGTGGACACTCCAGAAAAATTCAATGATAAGATTGCGTCGCTTTTTGAGAGTTCTAATTTGTCTGCTAGAAATCGGCTTTTTTCACTTATAGAAAATTCTAATTCTTCAAATTCTACTATGTCAACACCATCTAGAAAAAATTCCTTTACTTTAACGTTGAATTCTTCTTCATCCAATTCATCATCTGATTTTAACTCTTCACTTGAAGCTTCACCAGGCGCTTCTCCTGCCAGATACGACATGAAAAATAAACCACCAGGTTTTTTTTTTGTTTTGGCGGCACTTTACTTAAATCTAATTTCAGACACCAAAAAAATTCTATGTTGAAGACATCTTTATTAGCATGTTTTGACGTTTTGGATACAACTTTCGGTTTCATTTATGTTAATTTTAATAGCAACAATTTAAAATTGAAATAATTTTTTTTCTCAATTTAAATCGAAACCGCAGGAATATGCCTCATTATAAACAATGAGAAGTTTGATGGCGAACTCAAACTGACAGAAAGAAGAGGATCCGACATTGATAGAGGTTTTGTTAGTACTTTTAAAGTATATCACTTCCTAATTGAGCGTACTTCACTTTTTAATGGAATGATGTGTTGCCAGTGTGGCACCGTCCGTGCTATTGTCGTTGATTTTTGAAATGTTATTTTTTGTGTTTTATTTGCGTTATGGTTCTTGAGTGTGATGGGCCAAATGTTCATTCGTTCTCGTTGTTTGGTTCGATTTATATTTTTATATAAAAAACAATCATTTGTCATCACGTGTTATAGCTATTCACCAAACCACCCACGCACTTATACTTGAAGACGATTTTTTAAAATTCAAACATTCACACATCATCAGACCAAATAAAAACGTTCTTCCAAAAGTTAAAGTTCAAAGTCATCGTTTATGAAAACTTGACCGCTAATGTTATGCAAGAGAAACTGAATGAAACCAGCAAACAAGAAGTGAAAGAGTCTCACGATTGCTTTGTTTGTTTCATTTTGTCCCATGGTGAAATGGGTTACGTCGTCTACGGCACGGACTGTCAAGAAGTCCCCTTGCTGTCGCTAACAACACCATTCCACAAAGGTCATTGCCCTCAGTTGGAGAATAAGCCGAAACTTTTTTTCGTCCAAGCTTGCCAAGGCAACCAATATAACAGAGGTTCGATCAGTCTCGTTTTGATGCACCATTTAAACGTTTAACAATTTTTTTTCGTCACTTAACGTAACATAATTAAATCGATTGCTGATGTAATTATATAATTTATTGAAACAATCACATTCGAATGCGTGCACGCACGCACACACACTCCTACACGCTGGCACACAAGAATTCATTTGATTCGATTTTTTGGGTTTCCTGATCTGATCTCTAGAACCTTCTTCCACTGACCCATACATCAATCAATCGATTAATTTGTAAAGCGCTATTTTCGCGATGTTCAACAGCGCTCGTCAGGGAATTTTTAAACAGACGGGTGTTGAGATCCGCTCTGAACTTCCTCAGGGATGAAGAAGTAGTTAGAGAAGGAGGTAGAGAGTTCTTAAGAAAAGCATAAGAGTGTTCAACAGTAATTAAGAGGAAGTGAGAACGAGAAGATGATCGTAGACCTGCCTTGAACGTTCAGTTTAGACTTAGCTTGGTCTTTAGTTGAAACGGAAATAAATTTAACTTCAAGTGGCAGGTGTGATATTGAAAATAAACATTCGTTAGTTATGTCTATTCTAAATAGATATATCGTTTATGATTATGTTAACAAAAAAGTTGATGAGGATGATGACTTAATAATGTTTTTTTATGGTTGTATCAGATCTCGCCGACCAGCTCGAAGAAGATAGTGCAAAAAAGTTCAAGGTAATGGAGGAAGGAGATTTCTTGCTGAGTTTTGCTTCTCTGCAGGGCTATGCATCCATGAGGAGTCCGACTACAGGTACCTGGTTCATAGCGTCGATGATCAGTGTCTTCCATGAACATTATCAAGAGTATGACAAATTTATCATTTGCTTCTTAGGTGTATTTCTCTTAAAAATATAATTATTTTTGAAAATTTCATTTTATTTATTTATTTATTTTTCCATTTATTAATAGGTGGGATATTTTAACTATGCTAACCGAGGTAAATAGAATAGTAAACGAGAAGGAAGGCCAAGTTGGCAAGAAGAAAGTCTCTCAAACTCCCGTGCTGATGAACACTTTGAGACGAATATTTCGTTTTACTTAAAATGTTCTCATATGTAATATCAGAGGCGTAGCCAAAGTCTTGTTTTTTGGACAATGGAAAATTTTGCTCGCTTTGAGACAAATTTGAACAAACAAAACTTCTATACGAATTTGTAAAAGTTTAGACTGAAAACTGTTTCACCGTCCCTCACAGCAATAAATTAACTTAATTTTTGTATTGAATTTTGATATCAAAAGTTGTTAAAAATTGTGTGAAAAGCTAAAGAATTCGCCAACTTTTAGTAACAATTTTAACCCTCTTCCAATCTCAACAAATTTCTGACTACGCCACTGGATAATGGGTTTCAAATTAATTGCTAAAATATATGTTCATGATTTATGAAAATAAAATTTTGTTCACCCAAATTCTGAACAAACCGAGTTAAATTAAAATTTACTGTGGCAGAATTTTTCACATAACTTGTTTATTTAAATGAATTTAATTATTTTTTCTCACAAATGTGGGCCTTGTTTGCAAAGGATTTTTTGAAAATTTCTGAAAGGATTGAGTTGATGCAGTTGCAGAATTGTTTCCACTCATAACAAGTACAATTTGTTGCTGTGGTTTGAAAAGTGTTTTTGAAAAGTGTGTCAGTACATCGTTATATTTTGTGCTGCCACAACATGCAACATTTCTTAACAGCAGCATGTCATGTAGTTCACAACATATGACTAGCTAAAACATTTAAAACAACCGGATTTGTGAGAAGGCAAGCAGGGCTATTGCACTGGAGCATCAACAAGAGGGGGTTGCCTTAACGAAGATTAAAATATTATTGTTATTATTACAATTCTCTTTCCAATAGTTTTTAGAGGTGCCAGCAACAACAAACATCACGTGTTTATGATTCTATGGAGTTGGAAAAACATTTCCTGTGGGTATTTTTAACGTGACGTTTTTTTTTTAAATTGACGTGCAAGGGTCCAGTCTAGTACAACTCCGAGATCATTCATTCAGTGGTGACATGAATTCGTTCAGTAAGCTCTAGTGTTATTGCTGCTTACCAAGCCAGATGTTTTGTGTTTTTTAGTGTTAAACCCCGTCCGGTCATGTTCGCTAACATTCACCGACCGACTGCAACGTTTACTGAGTCCATTATCTTTTATTAACTCGATCTCACGATATATTATGGGCTGATTAACGAATTACTACATAAAGTAACATTAAAAACAATTATACAAAGTTTCATCAAAAATAGACAATTATATGGAAGAAAAAATGAAATAAACATGAAACAAATTGATGTAAAATGAAATTTGATAGAATACAAAATGAGATCGAACAAGAAAATAAAGAATAAATTTAGAAACGGGAAACCAATGTAGATCAATTATACGAGTTCAGTTTGTGATTAATTTGAAACGATTCTTTTGTTTATCGCACCATCATCATTCCACTGGGTGTATACGTTGAAATATTTGGATCAGAAATGAATTAGAATAAGACGACGATGATGATGACAATTTTTGTTAAATTTTAAAAACAAATGTCCTCGAAGTTTTTAAAAAATTGAGATCTTTAAAAGTGAAAAATAATTCACCAAGCTGTTTAAATTAAAATGATGTTTTCAATTTTTAATCGTTAAATCCGCATCCGCGCCGTGTGATTATGAAATTCTCAACTAATATAATTACATTTTATTTAAAAAAAGAAGGTTAATGCTTAAAATTTTGTGCAAATTTTTTGCATGCATATTTATTTATTTATTTACTTGTATTTTCATTTCACAAACAACATGACAGATGATATTTTATTTTGTTTACCTTGCATGAAAGAGTACAATTCATGAATTAATACTTTTTATAAAATATTACTGGGTATTTTTTAAATAGAGTGTTATTACCGACCCCTTGAACTTGTAGTGTACAGTTATTTCTCTACGTGGATTTCTAACTCCTGAACAGACTTATTTCAGATAAACTTCATCAGAAAGAAAACAATGTTGACAATCGTGTGCATTGCGGTGATCAACCACTCGTTTATTCACTCGTTAAAACCTTTAGAATGCAGCACAATAACTAATCGACAGGTAAATCACAGAATAAAACTAATTGTCAATAATTGAGCTTTTCTCGTCAGATATTTCTTGGCCGCTAGTATTCGCTTCTCGGAAGATTATCGTAATTCACTCGCAGACGGCGTGTAGAATTCTTCGTGATAAACTTTTCCTAGGACGTAATCGCTAATTTGCTTGCAGTTCACACATAAACTTCTGCTGCGATAGAACCTCTTCTTTTTGCTCGATACCTTCTCTGACCCCTTATTTCTCGTTCTCTTCTTCTTCGTTGTTCTCCTCTGCTTCTCCCCTTCTGTTTCTGAGACCTCTTCTCTTTGCATAGCTACCGATGTGTTAGTAAATGTGCCGAATAAAAGTGTCACGGCTACAAAATGAATTTACAGCCTATTAGACATTATCTCGATCTCACGTCTGTAACAATAGTTATTCATTGCTAATTTATTAAACCATCTGCTACTACTACTACAACTACTACCACTACTACAACAACTACAAACAAACTACTATTACGACTACTACTACTACTGCTACTATTACTGCTACGACTACTGCTATTACTAATACTTAATACTACTACTATAACTACAAACAAACTACTAGACCATTACTACTACTATTACTAATATTACTATAACTATATTACTAATATTAACCATTCCATGTTGAAAATGAGGATTGTGAGGATAATAACGATGATAATGATGATAGCAATAATAAAATTAAATGATAATAACTTTATATTTAATAAATAATAATAATTTTTAAGATTATTATTATTAGTGAAATCTATAAATCATTTCCAAGTGCAAAAGTTTTATCGCGTCGATCGCGATTATCATTAGCTGGAAATTAATTTAATTAAAAATTTTCAGATACATATTTGTGAAAATGTAACATTGTGTATGTTGTTTGTTTTGTGTGTGTGTTTTGTGTGAGTGAGTGTGTGTGTGTGTGTGTGTGTGTGTGTGTGTGTGTGTGTGTGTGTGTGTGGATGTATGTATGTAAGTGTCTATGTGTAATGTGTATGCAGTTTGTGTGTGTTGTGCGTGTGTATGCAAGTGAACATTAATGAATTGAGTGAATGATCTGCGTTGAAATGTAAATAAATGGTAGAATGATGGTGGTAATGTGGCTATGATGTAAAATTATATAGTAATAAATTATAAACGAGAAAATTAAAAAAAAATTTAATTAACACACACACGCACACACACACACGCACACATACACGCACACACATACACACACAGAGATATGTATAGATATAAGTAAACATATATAATATATACATATACGTATTTTTATTTTTACATATTTGTCTCTTTCTATAAAAGAGATGCGCAAGAATTTTCCACATTTAAAATTTAGTTCGTGATCAACATTTTATGTTGGATGTTGATTGGTTAGTTGATTGATGAATCCTAGTTAATGATGGCAACCAATCGTCATCATCTTCTTCATCATCTTTGGCTATCTGGAAACATTCCATGGTCAGCTCGACTGGTTTGCTCTCTGGTCATCCTGTATGTCTTTCGTTTTCTGAATTTTGCCATTGCCAGCTATGATCCTGGTAAGATTTTTTGAAATATTTTTTATGATTTTAGTTCACGCATTACATTCTAAATAATTTAATTAAAATAGTTCAATCCATGCATTAAATTTAAAATAATGTTTTTAAATTATAGGACGCGATACGATATTGTATTTTATTTGCTAACTACAAAATTAGAAGGCAGGATGACATCACTATAATTTAAAACTAAAATGGTCAACATAAATGACCATTTTAGTTTTAAATTATAGTGAGATTTAAGCTAAAATTTAACAAAGAAAATGTATTAGTCGATAAATTCATAATCAAATTTTCATCATTACTACTATATATACATATTAATCACATTTAAAATTGTTTTTCATCAAAGTAAAGCATTAATTAAAATTAGAAATAATTAATTGAAATATTTTTTATGCTACGAGATGGTTACGGAAAAAGTTTCCCTAAAAAGTTCGTCTACCTCATCGAAAAAGGTGAAACTTTAAGAGTTAGTGATTTTGATGGAAAATGTAAAAGTTGGCAATTCAATGAACAGTCTACCTATCCAGACTATAGCCCGTTCGGGTTGGTTAGGTCATCGACACCAATACTTGTTGTAACAATAACAAAATTAAGTTAAAAATGTGACTTTAGTTAAAAATGCATCAATATTTTTGAACTGCAGAGTACTTAATTAAATTCGATGGTTGTTTATTTTCTATCGATCCATCTAATTCAATCCTAATTGCCATGATTTAAATAATTAGAAATTTTATTTAGAATAAAACGTAGTCTTATTTTGTTTTCAACAATTGTTCGTTGTCAAAATTGACATAAACAGATCGAACGAAGAGAAATCATTTGAAATCTCCAGTGCAACTGCTGGAGATGCCGGAATATATACGTGCATAAGGGATGAAAATGATAATACAACATTTGAAATAAATGTGATAGGTAAAACATTTTTTTTTCTTTGATTAATTTCAATCTTGTAAAACTTAACTCAGCGCGCTGTGATTATGATAATTGTTATTTAAACGTTATGACGTATGCGAGATGATTTAAAACACCCACGTCATCTTCCCAAGAAATACAATTCAGCTGCTAACTATTTAAATCATCATATGTAAATTATCAATATTGCAAATAATGGTTGAGAGTTAAATCTTACAGTTCTGATTCTAAATAAATACGTACATAACTTCATGAACAAAACAAAAAAATGGACCAAAGAAGCAATTTTGTAAACTTTTTTCACAAACATTTGTCAACAAAATTTTTATTGATTTGTTTCAAAGTGTCACAAAATGTGATCTCCTTTATGGACAGTCCCTACCAATAAATTTTGGCGTTCTACAAAATTTTAATTGAATGCAGACAAATTTGAAGTTAGTTCGAATCGTCAGAATGTTTTGACCGGTATTGGCCCGTGCAATGAAACTGAAAACCTGACGTTTAGCTGTAATGCTGAATATTATGGGCCTACAGACCTCAAGCTCGTTTGGATTTTAAAAAAAAGGTTAAACAAAAATTATGCGTGTTTATTATGTCTGTCATATTCAATAAACTACAGTTGTTGGTTCTCTAAATCTAGGCAATAGACATAAAGTGCAATAGACTTTTTTTATCTTTTTAACTTTATTCTATTTATAGCTGTTTGTTGATCATTCAGGCAATAGATGATAAATCTTACTGATCGTAAAGGACATAAGGAACTTATAAATTGATCTACCGACATAACTTATGTTTTTAATGTTCTTACTTCCATCTAGGTAGAAAAAAAACTTTCACCTTTCTTGACGATCCTACTTATCTCTTCATTAGTTTTATCTAAGATTGGTTATTGTAACTCGCTCTACTATGGTCTTCCTAAATCTACATTCCATCTTTTATGTAAAGCTTTTAACTCTGCTGCTCGTCTTGTTGCTCGTATCCCTATCTCTTCTCATATATCTCCATATCTTGTTCTCTTGCACTGGCTACTTATAAAATATATAATAATTTTTAAAATCTGCACATCAATGTAGAAGTTTCAGTCAAAATTATTTCCTAAATACTTAACAGATATTTAACTAAACTTTAAAGCCTCGGTTTACGATCGTCTTATTACTCTCACTTTTTCATAACTTGTGTTAAACAATCTAATGCTAAAACTGCGTTTGCTTTTTTGGCTCTTTTCTAGAAATTTCTACCTCCTTCTCTAACTATTCTCTAACTCTAACTCTTCATCACTTACGAAGTTCAGAGCGGATCTCAAGCCCCATCTTCTTGTAAAATTCACTGGAAAGCGCTGTTGAACATCGCGGAAATAATGTTTTAAGATTGATTGGTTGATTGATTAAAGCCATTCAGTCAACCATTTACATAGATAGCTGACCCAGTCGGCATATTACGTAACATATTACGTTCTTTCGAGGCACTGTCCAAATTTGTCGTCGCCAACAATCGATCTCGGCCTGCTGATATTGATCTGGAAAATTTGTACATACCTTCGATGCTTATTGAATATTTTATTGACTTTTAGGGAGGTTGTAGGTTAATGACAAAAGTATTCGAATAGGAGTTTGAACAGATTTATAATCGGTAATGAGAATTAACGGCCAGCCGTTCAACTGACCGCTAGTTTGTGCAACTCATTATTTTTTTGAAAATTGCATTTTTATGCTTAATACTCAATTTTTTTGTTATTTAGTCCGACGCTTTAAAAAATATAGATGGATCCGAACCACAAAAACTGACCACAATTCAATCAGCACGACGAATCCCAAAAATGGCGTGAATCATTTTAAACGGAAAATCAAACTGACGCCAGATTCTCGGGATTTTGACATAAAGTTTGTTTTTTAATCTTTTATCTTTGCTCCTCTAATCATCTTTCTACGCGGTTTATAGTGAGCGGTTTAGAAAAATATTTTTTCCGAATTACAAAAATTATTCAAGTTATTTCAGTTGATGTTTTTCGTTTGTTTTTTGAGTTTATTTACTCATTTAATTAATTTAACTGAAAAAAACTCAAGTTTTCAAAAAGCACGCTTCTAATTGTACATTTAAATAACTTGGCTAGATTCAACGTTGCTTTTAAATATTCTCTCAAGTTGTGTTTGTGCTAAGCACACGTTTAAATGCACTTTCAGGAACTAATAAGCTGATGAACTATCATTTCGTCCAACTTACGTTTCGTTTAATGTTTATTTTGTTTGACTTTATCGAATTTTGGCTGAGTAAAATTTAGACAAGATAGCATTAGACTAAATAATTGCTAGACCATATTATGGTTAGACCATATAATCGTTAGACCAAACAAATGTTACACTAAATAAATTTATGCAAAAAGAATTTTAGACAAAATAAATTTGAAGACGATGACAGACCAGAGAATGTTAAATGAACAGCAGGGCAATCTCTGAATGACAACAATGTTTTTTGAAAATATTCTGCTTTTAAAAAAGTTATGTAGGAAAGCAGACGTGGTGTCGGATTGAAATTGAACAAAATTGAAATTGACAGATCCATGTTTTTGGGGAGTTTTCGTTTCTATGTGTCAGCATGAACATTGAACTCACTTATAAGTACCCCCTCTTTACGTCCTTTTATTCTTCGTTTCAGACCTGACTGCTTGGACGTCTTGGTCTCTTTATGAAAGCCATATGAACAAATTTATTCATTTTTATGTCTGTTTGTTTTGTTCAATCACATTGTTATTAAGTGATTTAGTTTGATTTTATTTTCGATTTTAAGTAATTTTTAATGTTTGAATAAACTTCAAAAAAATTCTTTTCGTACAAACAAACTTTGTTAAAAAGAAGGTTTGTTATATTGTATTGTATTGTATTGCAGAATTTGTATAAAGCTTCTTATGAGTTTACTTCAGAAGTGCTCTCTTTATTTCCTTCACTGCGGTAAGTTGAACAAATAGTTTTCAGACGTTTTTTGGAGTCCTCTCGACTCATGATATTGAATCAAATCAACAGGCAACGCATTCCAAATTTGAGCAGCTGAAATATTCAGAAGCGTCGTAGTCAAGGAGCAGTTTTGGGTTAAACTCCCTCTCCATAATAGACGTTTTTGTTAGGGTTAAGGTTAAATTTAAAAATTCTCCCTTTCTAAATAATCCTAGCACCCTGACGAAACATTCCTGTCTACGGCACTAGTTGTGTTATTTGAAGCTTGATCTCGTATTCAAAAAAGTTAGGATAAACTTCCTAATAAATATACAATAAAGAGAATATATAATACACAAAAATGCGTCGGGCGGCGTGATTGTGCAGAAACTGATAAAGGCCACCACCTTCAAATACAGAAGGGAATCCCCGCCTGTCACATGCTTTGTGGGGTGAGTCGCCGCATTGAACATTTTCATATGCGCCTTTGTATGTTTGATGATTTCTCTGAAGGTTGGAAGAGTGCAACGATCTTTTAGCTTTATAAAGTTTTTAGATTATAATTTGTTATTATATGTTTTTATTAATGAGCATTGGTTTTTTAGTCACTAAATAACGATAAAGTTATTTTGATGCTTTCATTTATAAGGAATCTCGAAACAGACAAGAATTTATTCTGTATCTTGACAAACGAAAGCTTGTACCCCATAGATATCATTAAATATAAAAAAGCTCCATCTATATTCTTGGTCGGTTAGTATGTTGATGATTTTCGTTTTTTCGCTGTATTTTCCTTGGAAAGATGAACAAATTGGCAAAGAAATGAACGATTTTTTATAAAATATTGAAAATTCAAATATTTTAATCAATTTTTGATTTATTGGCCAAAAACCTTTCAACCTAATTCATCAACAAAATTACCAATGAAGATATTAAGCTAACAGAAATAGTAAAAGTCGACAGCAACAAGGATAACACGGACCCTGATGCTTATGAATGTATTGTGCAATCCAACGTTCATTGCAACAGTAAGAAGTCTCTAGTCAACGGTTAACACTTTTTTGTTTGTTTAATGATTTTAATTCATACTTACGTTAACATCACATGACGATGTTGTTAAGACAATTGAAGGATCACTCTCACAAGCCCCAATTGCTTTTAAGATACGGTTGTTTCATGTTTTGTGGCTACATATATTTTTATCAGATATTTAAAGTAAACTGCTTTCAGCTCTTGGTAGCATTAGAAATATGTTTTAAGACGCTGAAAATAAATTATGAAAAAAATTTAAATCATTATCAGATATTGCAACGAATGGCCAGGATGTTGGAAGAATTGTGACTCACTGTCTCTGTGAAACTGTTTGCTATTTCGGCATGGATACATGCTCCTTCAACGTCAGCCAGAGATTATTTTCCAGTCAGTTAACGACGACTTCAATCACTACTACGACAACCAGTAAGAATTTCGTTTCTGTTCGTGTGTACGTGAAAAAAGCTTTTTTCAGTGTTCCTATACCATCTTCGTTTTTCGAAGTGAAACGTTGTGTATGTGCCAGATGCTCAAGTATATAATATATATATATATATATATATATATATATATATATATATATATAAATATGTGTGAGTGTGTGAGTGTGTGTGCATATTATACTAGTTTGTACATTTCAAAAGATACAACGTAGGTTTACAACAATAGAAATTAAAAAGATGTATAAAAAAGAATAAAACGTAAGAAATACTTATTAAATTATAATTATTTTTACATTACTTAAAATTTATATTTCCTTTACATAATGCATAGAATTGGTATATTTATTTAGGGCCTACCATCGCCGCCACAACGACGACGACGGCAACTACCACAACAACTACTACTACTACAACTACTACTACAACTCCACTAACAACCAAAACAACAACAGCATCGAAGATCACAGCAACATCCACCCTAGAGATTAATGGACAGGCTATTCATTCCACGCAGACGACAATTCTGACGCTTGCGATGTGTGTGGTCATCGTCCTCATCGTCATCATCATCATCATCGCCATCTTTCAATGTTGGCTTTGTTGCAGGTCCGTGAAATGCTGAATGTGTATGCGTTGAAATGCAGAATTGAGTAACTGAGTGAATGGATTGTTTGTATTACTTTATTGTATTAGATTAAATGTGAGTAATCAAGTAAGCGAATGAAACTAGCTGCTTCCAACCAACTAAATGATCAATTGTATGCCCGTTGGGATGATTACAATGTAAAAATTATTACAGTACGTATTAAAATATTGCAGCTAACATTTGATAATAACGTTAGTTAGGTATGGCTAGCTTAACATGTTATAATTGAAAGGGAAAATTTTACAAATTTCGAGTTTTTTTTATGATCCAGACGATACAACGACCAACCTGATATAGAATCCAAATCTGATAACTTCGAAGGAAATAACGATTCTGGAAACTATCCGACGCCTGCCATTTTCCAGTTTTTGAGGTGGTGAACGTTGAAAAAAAATAAAATAATTTTCAGATTATTTGATAATTTAGTACTATGTTTAACTAATCATTTTTGTTTAATCTATCAGCAGCTTTTAAATGATTTGAATCAAACATTAAAATTGAATTGCATTATTTCCTTTAGCTAAGAACAAATTTAAGCTCTCAGGCTTATTACATGAGAATTTTTTTAAAACAGATTTTGAGTTCCATTTAAAAATTTGAAATAAAATACGAACATAAAAACGAATCATTTTAAAAATTATTTCCAAATAGGATTCTGTTTGCTTTATTTGATTTATCCCTTCGTTAACATTCAGGCTTATCTAGATTCAAAAACAATTCAAAAAGTTATAAAATCAATGCGTTTCAATAACTTTTAATAAAGATTTCATAGAAAATCGTTAGTTGTTTTAATTTATGCGAAAAATGCTCGGCAAACGATAACGCAACAAAAAAAAGCTGAAGACGTTCGTTTAACGACGTTCGTTTTTTACAATTTTCAGTTCCAACGAATTTAGCAACCACATTCATTTTGTGTTAAAAAATTTTACAACCAGCATTCAAGTTACGTTCATTTAATAAACGGTAATAATGTGATCGACAACAGCGAACGACCGCAAGATATATGCATCGTTTCATTCGAACGCCTCGCATAAACACCGACTTGTAAATCTTTTTCAACCTCTCATAAATTCAATAATTTTATTCAATAAAATTGTTCAAATAGATGAAAATGGTCAGAGCATATTTATGGTAATGAGTAATTGGCTCATCATATAAAATAAATAATAATCTAAACAATACTATACATCAGGGGTAGCCAAACTGCGACCCGCGAGGCCTTGTTGGCTAAAAAAGGTCGTCAGCCAGACATTACGACCAAAAAAAAGGCTGTCAGGTCAGCCACAAATCTTAAAAACATCTTTAAAAAGATAGCTCCCAATGCGGCCTTAACAGCAAAAAGTTTGCCCACCCCTGCTATACATCACACAGTAATGTTACATGAATAACCACGTTAGCAACATACAACAAAAACGATGTCCATAGTAAATGAAGGAGTAAATGAAAACAATGCATGGAAAATAATAGAATACCCGAAGCACAACATAAACGAGAATTATATGCAAATATTTCAACCAAAAGAAACATTGGTCGGGATTTCATCAGTATTCCAAGAACCCCGTGACTTCTTGCGACAGCAAGTTTTTTTTCTCATCCTGTTATTTGAGAGCTAACAAAACAATTGAAAAAATGCAATGACGAAAGAGCAAAATATAATAGTTGACGATACCAACAGAGAGAGAGAGAGACAAATATAAATACCTAACAAGTTCCAGAAAGTAAATAACCAAAATTGAAATAACAACGCAAACGATAGCAGAAGCACTAGCAACGTCATAACAACGTGAACACTCCGATAACATTTTCATCATAACAATAGTTCAGATGGCTTAAACATTACACTCGGCCATTAAATATAGTAAGCTAAGTAGTAGGCATGTATTACTACCATTATGAAGCAAATAATAAATACATATCCTAAATAAATAAATAATTCAATATATATTATAAATATATATATAATAAATATATTAATATATATATAATAAATAAATAATATCAATCAATCGATTGATTGATATCCTAAATGAGTTTATTGCACTTTAGTTACACACACACAGTATAGGGTATATGTATCATACAAATGTACCTACGTATAGTGAAGAATTCTATGAATTCGATAACGCTCTTGGCAACGTTAACTTTGATAATCACACATATGTAAACGTTCAAATGCTCAAACATTCATTCAACTGAACTTTTAGACTATAAATTTTTTTATAGAAATAAATTTTAAAAATGAAAAGATTTACTTTATTAAAAAAAATCCTCATGGAAAAAATCTGACACAAAAACAACAAATTTCAAACACAAATTTCTGCTATAAATGACAATCTTCTTCTTTAAAATTTATTTATTCAAAACTATTTAATAATAATAATAATAATTTCAATTATTTATTTACAATAAATATTAATATTATATGAAGAGAAAAAAAATTTGGCAAAACAATAATGGACTAGAAGAAATTGTTGTAAAACTATTGTTAAGGAACTAAAACTTGAAATGCATTTGACGACAAACAATCCCTTCACAATTCAAGCATCATCCTCTCTACTGTAAAGTCGTAACTGAACTGTCACAAAAATATAATTATTGTTTAGAAACAATTATTAAATGAAAAACATTTTATAATATATACAATTAAACAAAATTAATTAGCCATTTGTCATAGGATGCATGAAATTATTTAATTAAATTAATTTTTAAAATTCAAATAAATATATATATGTATGTATGTATGTATGTATGTATGCATGCATGCATGTATGTATGTATGTATGCATGCATGCATGCATGTATTAACCTCTGTCTCGATATCCATATCTTCATCGTAACGATTTTTATAACCATTCAAATGCAATAGCTAATAAAACATTAAGTTATTTGAAATTTTAAAATTTAATTCAAACAGAAAACAAACTTATTTATTTGACATAATAAATAATTATGAAAAAGAGTTTTAATTAATTATAAATTAATTGGTTAATTATGATAATTAATGGTTTTAAATTGAACAGTCAACCTCATTCCTAGTCAGATCATCAATGCCAATGCTGGCATTCAAACAGAATGGGATGTCGTACATAGCTGATGTTAACGATAATATACATTTAATTATTAATTTGATTATAATTACATTCTATACTTAATTTTAATTATTGGAGAAGACCATAAAAATGATATATACCACAAAGAGTATCACAAAGAGTATCACAAAGATTATCACAAAGGGTATAACAAAGAGTGTCACAATGGTATCACAAACCCACCATTGACAACCAATGATCCAATATCATTATAATAGACCAGTGCATTTGATGTTGTTGTGTTGTTAACATCACTACAACTGTTGTTGTTACTGTTGTCGACGTTATTGATGGTATGCTGTTGTTGGTGCAACATATCGGCAAGTGGTCTTAAATTTTTTAAATTAAGAATTTAAAAAAATTAATCAGAAATCCATCTTCTAATAAGGTTTACTGTGTGTGTTACATTGAAAAGAAAACAGATTTGATCTTTAGAGATATAGAAAATAAATAAAATGAGAATAATGTACAAAGAACAGTCAGCAGCAGCAGGAGGGACCAGCATTGGATCGTCATCCCCACCACCAACACATCCTTGTTGCAGGTTGGCCAAGTTGCACATCTGGTAGCACAGCACTAATCCATTTATTTCACTAATTTAAAGAAATTAGTAAAAATTATTGTGATCATTTCAGATTTATTGGTTCTAAGACCCAAGCCAAAAATATTAATGTAAAGGTAGAATTTTTTTCAAAAATATTAATGTCATACAAACTATAAAGCAATTTGTTGAAATTGGGTGATCAACAATTTAACAAAGGACCAATCAACAAATTTTCAATTTTTTTGCAATAAAATACAAGACTCAGCTACCAACCCAATTGCTGTATAATTGTTTGGAGGTTTTTTATTCCTGCTGAGAATGATCATGTCGGACACAGCCTCACAGGTAGAATTTCTTGGCAGCATCCTGATGCAGAGTAATTTCTTCTGTAGAGCTTTCTCTACTTAAGAAGAAAATATAATTATGCTATTACACAACTTTCATTACCTTTCATTACTTAAAAAACTTTTCAACATAGTTAAGAAAAATGTAAATATTGAAGTTGAAAGTAGTACTGAAATAAATAATAAACACACATGTGTCCATGGTCTTATGAACAATTCGACACCCTTCTGGAACCGGATCTCTATCATTTATGAGGAAAATATTGACCAAAACATCTTGTAAGTGATCCTGAATACATATGTGCAGTAACAATCATCATAAAATAAACTTTTGACATAAATCTCATGTCAAATATCATCACTGAGAAGGACTCACTTGATGTTTTTCAATAGCCCTCGTGAAGCACAGGTATCTAGTGCATTTTGATTTGAAGACACTATCTTTCCATAAATCACAATCCTCTCGCTTGTCTGTTGATTTCACCAGCTAAACAAAAAATTCATAAAGTTCAATTATATTGAACTTATTAAGTTTTTGCCAATTATCTAAAAATTGCTACAAATCTGTATAGATGGAATATTACTTATGAATAATCAAAAGTTTTAAAAAAAGAAAAAGAATATTATTGCTGTTAGTAAGTAAGTAGTTGTCATTCAAGATATTTTTTGGAGATTGGTGGTTAATTCAAAAAATACTATATCCCAATCGTGTAATTTAATAATTTAATTTTTAAATTATTAAAAATTCAATAAAATTGTTATAACTTCCATACATCATTCTTTATAAACTAAAACAGTAAAATATTTATTAAATTGGGAAAAAGAAAAAAGTTGTTTCATTAGTAAGCAAAAACCTGAAAATTCCAAAATTTTCTTTTTAAAAAGTTTATTCAAATGAAAGTTAATGTTTTACATTAAAAATCAAGCCAGCTAATATAATACTATAAGTACAACACAAAACAGAATACAAAAAGTACTACTAATAGACTTAGTTTGCTGTACTACTAGTTAGTAGAATTAAATTTTAAAGTTAAAACATAAATAACGGCTAAGTTTCACAGTCAAAGTTTCCTTTTTAATCCTATGGTTTTTTTAATCTGATATGATATAAGTTATTTATACTGATATAAAATTATAGATATAATTAAAATTTTAACTAAGTAATTTACTACTAAACTAAAATAAAAGACTGCCTTCCTTTTCTATTAGATTAGGGACTTAGGATGAGAAGAATAAGTGTACACTACAGTACATGTACACTAAACTTCTAGGTACAAATTTAAAAGTAAGCACTTCTTCAATCACACGCACATACGCACGCACATAAGTATGTGCGCAAGTATAAGTATAAGCACAGCACAAGTATCTATAAAATAAATAAGCGCAACAATCGCACATACAACACTAACCACAATGTAACTGGGGGGACATTTACTAAGATCGGCCACAATTCCCAAATTTGTGATCGGTAAGTTAGATTGCATTATAAAACTAAAAAAGCGCAAAATTTATTCAAAACGCTGTCCACATATTTATCTTTACAAAGCGATTCTTTTTTTAACGACTAAATTAAAAAACAGACGAAAACTAACGTCCATAACACTAGTTCTAAAATTTTACTTGAACTGTGCACTTTTAAACGGGTTGAGCTAATTTGGTTCCATGACTTTTTTTTGGTAACGTACTTAAAATAATTGGTATAAATTGGTGCAGGAAACCAAAAGAACCCACAAATTTCAAGAGTTTAAATGTTTGGCAAAAACAAAATATAAAATGTAACAATTCAAACGTTTTTAAGTTTACGTTCAGGTTAAGTGAAGCCTGAAAAAATTTTAAAATATTAAATTCATTACAAAATGCTTTTTGATTCTTTGGCTTTAGATGTTTCTTTGTTGAAGAAAGTAAAAGTAGATTGAAGTTTTCTTTTTCAATGTGTCAGTAGCTGGTAGAGTTTGCGTCAAATGTTTTTTGTATTTATTTATTTTATTTTATTTTAATTTTTGTATGATGAGTTTATTTGTTTGAACTTGTTTGTACTTGAGAATATTGCAAAGATGGATGTTGAGAGTTCATGTTCCATCAGCAGTCAGATGTTGGACTGGTGATTGCTTGGTGTGTTTTTTTTAATTTTTATCACGTTCCAGTTACACCGGTTACGTGTGGTCTCATTTTATGTTTTGGTGAGTTGCGAAATTGGAAATGGAATGAAGGTGTTGAAAAAGATTGAAGATGGAAGATGACATGGAAGAAAATGGAATGTTGTTGAAATTTAAAATTGTCTGTTCTTAATGCTCAGAATCAGAAAATGGGCAGAATTTTTTTTTCAACAAAAGTTATCATTCATTTAATATTGATGACATATCCTCATCATCATTAATTTTGGTTCTGATTTATTATCTTCAAAAAAGAGAAAACCAAACGGTTTTTAATTTTGTAATTTATTAATATTTCATTTTTTGAAAGATTTATTTTATAAAATGTTTATTTCAGCTAGACTGCTTGACAGCTAGAGTTACTTAGATAGAAAAGAGAACAAGCTAAATTTGTATTTTGTTTTGTTTGGTTTGTTAATAGATTTTATTTTCTTTAGTTTAAAAGGTTAAAACACTACTACTCAATGGCCAATAGTTATGCAAATGAAAATTACAATTTTCAGGTCTACTACTTAGAAACTCTAAAACTGACAACGATCAACAAACCAAAATTTCAAACTTCAGTTAATCAGAATTTCAAATACTTGTTGAAAAATGGCTGAATCAAATATTGGAAGTGAAGTTGTCAGTGCTGAAACTCGACAGAAAATTGTGGAACAGTTGTAAGTTGCTTTTCTTTTTTGCTGCATTCAAACTTCAAAGTATTCATAACTAATGGAAACAAATATTTATAAAATTTTGTTTCATTTGGAATTTTTTAAGTAAACTCCACATATCTGGTGCAACAGCTGTGGAATTAGAAAATAGTATCTATGCCAGAAGCTCCAACCATGTAAGTTGTCAAGTTTTATCATTTATTATGTTAATATTTAAGAAACGTTGATTTTTTTTTATTAATATAGGATAACTACAATATAAATTAACTAAAAATGTTATTAACTAACACTCTAGTATATTGATAAAGTCGCTAAATAACATTATTCAATACCTATCTTTTCATTCCATTCAAATGACTAGCTTTTGAGATTACAAGACTTTCTGTATTTTTTTTTCTCAAACCTACAGAAAGATTACATGGCTGATGTACATGCTTCCTATAAGAAACTCGAAGCAATGAGTGAGCTGTACATATTTTTATTCATCATCATCGTCTTCATCATCATCTTCACTGTCTTCATTGTTATCGACTTTCTCAGTAACACTTATTAATTTTGTAAACGTTTCCAACCTTTTCATTAATATTACTATGTAATTTTGTTTTCCATGTCATGTTGTCAGCATGTTGTGTTGCCGTGTTGATTTGCATTTGTGTTGTTGTGTTGATTTGCATTTGTGTTGTTGTGTTGTTGTGTTGATTTGCATTATTTTCATGAACTTATAATTTTTCCACAACCCTGCATCCCGTAGAACAGTTAAGACCGCTGCAGCAACAACAGGGCGGCACCTCAACAATGTCTGTGCCACAGAATTTTGTTGACCCAGCACTCCACCAACAGTCTCTATCTGATCCAATCAATGCTCTGCAACATTTGACTAAGCAAGGTTATTTCTTATTTATTCATTCTTCTCTTTGCTGGTTCGTTCATTTGATTCTTCCATTTATTTGTTTTTTAAATGCATTTATTCCTTTATTGTTTTTCCCATTCTCTCATTTATTCATTTATTCATTCATTCATTCATTCATTTAAGGGGGCTCATTTTATTCCATCATTCATTATTTCATTTAATAATCCAATCATTTTATTCATACATTCATTCATTTTAGAAACATTTTGATAGAGATTTAGAACGTGACCGTGTTAATGAATGTGAGTAGAAATGGTTAATAAATGATTTTCCATCCACTAAGACTCCATTCGCAAAAATTATTTTTCAAATTTTTCAATCTCTAGATAGCATAAAATTGTTGAATGGGCACGATTGTGAGAGTTATTTAATTGAAAATTCCCACGACTGTGTCGATGTTCTTCTGCCTACCACATGAACCAGGATCTTGTTTTTCATCAATCAGTGAGTGCTTGCTCGCTCGCTCGTTCTTCATAATGAGGAACTGGAGGTCGGTGGTAGCGAGAGGTCAGTGAGAAGAAGCGTGATAAGTTAGGAAAGGTAGATAGATACAAATGAGAACGAGAAGATATTTAGAATTAGGAAGTGATGGGCATGAACAAAATGATGATGGTAACTTGGTGAGAATGATGAAAAATGAAAGTTGAAGGATGATTGGTAAAATAATGAAGAGAACTATAAAACTGAAAAGAAGGGTATTAGAATGATGAATGAATGAATGAGTGTGCCAGTGCAAAAATAAAAATTCTGCTATATTTTCATCATTAGTGATCAAATCCCCATATTAAATTAAGCCAGGTCATAGTTCAAATGTCAAAGGGAAGGTCACAGTTAATTAACTAAGTTGATAAATCAAATGTATTAGCTAGATTTAAGTGACTGCTAATTGGTTGGACAAGGATATGGATGAATGGATGGATGGATATGTGATCAGAATCTGTATCTTATTCAATTAAGTGATTGGGGTCGCGATGGGTATGGTGTCTGGCATTTGTGACACATTGTCCGGGTTCGAATGTGAAGAAATCCCCGCTTGTCACATGCAAAAGATTGTCTGATGCATTGATTTGATTTATTCACTGTGTGTTTGTTGTAATGATAATAATATGCCTCCGTCACTTGTTACTATTTATTTTTATCAATTGATATATCAATCAATTGTTATCTTAATTAATTTATGATATATCACAATCAGTCAGTCTCTTCTGCATCCTAATTAAATATCAGGCGGCTTATTTTTCGCCCCAAACGCTTTAAAAGTATTTCTCATTTGTTATTGCCATTCTTTATGTTGATGTCACCATATTTTAACCCATATTTTATTTTATTTCAGCTCTTAGTAATAATAATGATGATAATAATGGTAATTATTATAATAATAATAATAATAATTAATTAATATATAATAATTATAATAATAATAATAATAATTAATATATAATAATTATAATATTATATATTATTATTGTTGTTAATTTTATTAATAATTTTATTATTATTATTATTGCCATTTTTTATTTTTAAAGGATTAAAAGATAATAATGGGATTATGATATTGATTATAAATCGACATTTAAGTACTGCTTGTCAATGATGGCTACAACAAATGTTATTGGCAAGTTATTAAAAATAACGATACTGATTTGGTGTTGTTGTTGATGATGATGATGCTGATTGTGATGATGGTAATGATGTTGATGATGATGTTGATAATGATGTTGATGATGATGATGTTGATAATGATGTTGATGATGATGATGATGTTGATGATGATGTTGAGGATGAGGATGATGTTAATCAGTTATTTGCTTGTTTTGTTTGTTGTTTGTTTGTTGTTTGTTTTGTTATTTTGATGACGACCGTTTATCGTTTTGTTGTTTTTTGTTCTATTTATTTTTGTTGAATGAAAATGAGAAAAATGTTAAAATTCAAAACATTTTTTTTTATACATTTTTTCAATCGTTTGAAAAAAATGAAAATTATAGATTGATCTACAGTCATAAATCGAGACATAATTAGATAGCCAGTTATATGAAATGGTTTTTGAAATGATGATTTGAAACTTCTAAACAAAATCACTTTCTTCTTAGATGGTCTTCTCACTTTCTAGTTTGTGAAGCGTGAATCATAATCGTTATTCATTAAGCCCCAGGCTCGTGAACCGTAGTTATAGTTTCCTTCGGTCAGATGAATTAAAAGTATTTCCATTTTCAATATTTATTGAAATGCAGTTTTATGTAATGTTTTGTTGCGTAATGTTTTTCTATGTAATGTTTTCGCAACAAACTTTGTCTATTAGGTGCCTGTTAACGCTTTGTTTTACCTCCAGCATAATATGTGGAATATTATCAATTGTATAAGCAATTAAAATTTCAGTTTATTGAATGGCCAGTTGGATCTGTTAATAAGTTAATTGCCGGTAATATTCTAAACGTTACCAATCAACCAACAAACAAACAAACCAGCCAAGAAACCAACCGATCTTTTTTATGTAATTTTCAGTTGCGTGGATGTTTGTTGGGGCTTTACTGTGTGGATTTCAAGTTTCAATTTTCTCTATATTTAGACATTATTTAAACTTTTCAATTCATTCTTCCTTCTCATGTCATGTCGGTTGTTGAGTCACAAAAACTTATCCAGAATTTTTAACAATGATTATTTCCAAGTGTCTGATTGAAAATAATTTACGCTAAAATGTCGTTCATGGTGTTTTTTACACGAGAGTGTGTGCGGATGTTTCCTGGAATGTAAGTAAACTGCTGCGACGACTTTATTTATTCTTATGTTTTTCATTATTCCCCAAGTTGCATGCTTCATCTTTCTTGATGATGACGACGACGATGATGATAAGATGAAAACGACTATTGTGTTTGTTGCAAAGGCAACGATGACGATGATGAGAGGATGGCAGAAAATACAGAAACTGAATGGCTGAACGAAAGAATGACTGAAATGTTTCAATTTTTCAAGAAAAGAAGAACTGAATGAATTATAAAAAAGGAATGAGAGTATAAACGAATGAAGATTTTGATTATGATACCCATTGCTGTGCGTCAGCAATCAGCATAGTGATGATGATAACGACAGCGACGAGGATGATAATAAGGTGATTATTGCGATGGTGATATGAATAATGATGATGATGCTAATGATGACGACGATGATGATGGTGAATAGGAATGAAGATGGGATCGACATAAAATAATAATAAATAAATAAATAAATAATAATGATGATGATGAAGATGATGATGACGAAGCTTCCAGCGTTCCGGCGGTGATGATGTTGATGGGAAAGAATATTGCTAGAAAAAGAGGCACATTTTATTCAGCGTATATATGTGCGTACGCAAGTAAGTATGCAGTAACGAAATGATTAGAATGATGATGTGAGAGTGGTGATGATACTGTTGTCATAAATTAATTAACCAACTAAAAATGTTTGCATCATTTATTGTGGTTCTTCATTTTGTAGAAAATTTAATCATTTATAATCATAAAAAAATACTATATAGTGACGTCACTTTGACTATTGCACTATCATGATGATTGTGAAGATGTTATATTTGTAATATTTTTAACAAAATGAAATTGCCACTGGTAGTGGTAGTATTAGTACCAACGAAATGATAGTAGTAGCAGAAGTTGTAGCAGCATCAGTTGTAGTGGCCGGAGAAGTGGTTGTCGTGACGGTAGCAGCAGCAGTAGCAGTCGTAGTGAAGTGGTAGTAAAATGGTAATGGTAGCATTACTTGCCACTGAGCAACGCAGCAATGAAGCAAAGCTAGCATACAATTGAGATGTTAGCAGGCAGGTGGCCACACGCACAGTTTCGTGCAACTACACCAAATGAGAATTTTCGTTCACAGACTCTCATCTTATTATACAGCATGTATATACTTACATATATTTGCACAGATACGTGTATGCATATGCTAGAGGCGCACAACAATTTTTAGTGAAGGGCCAGATTGACAAAAACTTGGAGAATGGACGGCCGAAACTAATCGTCACCATCGACCATTCTAATGAGATGGCTGTGATTGGTGTTTGTTAGCTAGTTTTTATATATCTAGCTTAATTGTGCTTGTTGAAATTTTAAAATTTGCTTCTAAATGTTTATCAGCCAGTTTGTTTCTTGGTTTCGACTTATTAATGTTCATTATTGAAAATGTCTGTCACGTGTATGTACTTCCAAACATATGCATATTCTTTTAAATTTAAAAAATCTTCGGCAACCCTTTAAAATTTTTTAAAACATTCTAATTCAAATTTATAAATTGAGATTTACATGGATCAGATGTTCGTAGATCGATTAATTCCGTCTGAAATTTTTCGGAAGCTTCATCTACGGGAATGGCAAATGGATCCGCAAAAAGCTTCAATTTAATATCATTTGTTTCAAAATTTAGAAACCTATTATTAAAACCCTAGCATATGAAGCTTATATATATATATATATATATATATATATATATATAAAATGTATGTATGTATAAGTATGATTAGTGTAATTATACTTATATATATATATATAAATTTGAATGCATGTATGTATGTATGTACATATATATATATATATATATATATATACTGTGCGCAATACAGACAGACTATCATTGAAACACCAAAAAACTGCTGATGATGAGGATACAAAGATAAGACCAAGATGATGATGGGGAAAAGAATTATAATGTCGATGATGAATATTAAGATGATTGTGATGATGATAGCAGTAATGATGATGATATCGGTTCTGCTGATGATGATGACGATGATGATTACGATTTATTTCTGTCTGAGAGCGTCTCGGTGGACGTTCTTGTGTCTTTGTTCGTTGTGTGCGTTGGTCTGTATGTTTTTACGTCTTTTTATCTGTTTGGTTTCTTCCTGGCTGCATATTTGTGTTTGTATTACTGAGTGTAATGACATTTTATCGTTTGTACTTATTTGTTTGTTTAGTTTGTGTTTGTTAATGTACACACGTCGATGCGTATACTCACGTGCATGTTTTTATACATTTGTGTATGTTTTATTTTTGTACATGCAAATGCGCGCACGCGCGCGAACACACACACAATCGCACGATTGCCGGCTTGTCGTTTATGCGTGATGAATTTTTCTTCCTCTAATGGACAATATGTTTCACTCCATCGTTTTTTTCCATCTACGCATATGCCAATGTGCATGTAGGTGTTTGCATCTGTTTTCCCCTATTTTTCGTACGTGCTTATGCCATTATATTTTGTTATGTACTCGCATATTATATACTATATCAGCTAGTGTTCCTATCAACGATTCTCATTTTCAAATGCTTTTCAATGGCAAATTTCTATCTCTCTTTCATTTCCGAAAAGTCCTTCTTCAGACTACTGACAATAATGTATAGCCATTCGGTAAAACAAGCTGGTAGAGATGACCCTTATAGCTAGGAAGTTGAAGTTTCTATATCATACCAATGTCGTGATGACCAGAAAGGTTGGCTCATGGAAATGTACAATTAACATTTACAGCGAAGCTACAAAGTCGTTTTTTCAAGATCTGATTTGCCATCCAGTCTGAAAAAGATGGCCTCAATAAGTACATTCTTAGAACAACCGAGGGATGGCCAAGAACCGTTTAAGAAAAGGTTTTTCAATGTTCAATTAGGTGATTTGTTATTTGACAGTTTTTTCTTCGTCGCAAATATCACTGAGCAGTATTTAATAGGTGTAGATTTTATGGCAAAACGCGGACTCATAAATGATTCAAGAAAACGCTTTTTTAGATGGAAAAATACAGAGGTGGTAATAAAGTCGTTAATGAATAAAAGTTGTCCAAAAATATGTAGTCGAACCAAATTGCAGCGTTGGAGATCACCAAATCTACTACGTCGAACCAACAGCGATAGCGGAAATTCAAGACAATGTCACAAGATCGGAACATTAAACATGGCGGAATGTTCAATCAAAAGTAAAAAGTTATAGGCGATTGTCTATCCGAAAGCACAACAAACTCTCTGCATGTGCACGTGAAAAAACAGAGCAATGGTCGGCCAGTTGACATCGATAACTTCCTGAAGTTTGCCAAAAGTCTACTGGTTTAGTTCATTTTGAGACCATTTAAAGCTAAAACCTTGTTTGCAGACAAACTTCCAGCTGGAGTCAATCAATCAATCAATCTTCGTTTAGCGTCCAGAGACCCAGCTCCCCGAGTAAGGACGTTGTTTTCTTTGCCATCAATTTTTTGCGCCAAATTAGACGATCAGTTGTATTCATTTCATTGTAATTGAAAATTTTCCAACGAGTTTTAATATTTTATTGCATTCTATCACATTTCTTTCTCGTTGAAATCATCAAACCAACGCTTGATGCATTAGCTTACTAGATCTTCGATTACATACACGCATTTTTATTTCATCATTTCATCTTTTGGTCATTAGATAATGGATTCATTAGTAATGATAACCTCTCTCAACTGCTGGTTGATTTTTTGGCAAGCTGTCTTGTTTTTACGTTTAATGCATTACTTTCTGCGTTTTTTCTGTTGTCTTTATTTGTTATCGACTTATGCAAGTTTGCAATTACAATTAAGGTTATTATTATTTTATTTATTTAATTGCTACAATATTAATGTACATTAATTGCTTTCTCTGTAACCGTTTCCTCTTTGGTTGACCTTGTTATAATTGTTCAATATTGTTTTGTTTCTGTTGTACATTCTCGCTTTCATCCACGAACTTTTTGCATCGTTGTTGTTTGTTGTACGATGCAGACATCTTTCCTCCAAACACTATCAGGACCGCTTCTTCCGGTTGCTGCGATGTCATCAATCTTAATTTAATCATAATCATGATTGTGGCCGTTGTTGTTGCTGCTGTTGTTGTAGCGTCATCATCGTCGTCGTCATCATTGCTTAATCATTTTTTTCATCTTCACATTTTGATTAACCTTATTATTATCACCGTTATCACGATCATCTTTATTATTGTTATCATGTTCATTTGATATTTTATGTAATCGTCATCATCGGCGTCATCATTTTGCACGTACATTTCAGCTGCGATCGTCATCATTGTTTGCAAATCATTCACTTCATCACATTCATCGTTAGTTTATATCGGATGGCGCGGTCGTTTACTGGTAAAGGTGCATGGTACTGCTTTTGCAATGACTGGTAGTTTTTGATACCTCTGAGTAATACTGAAGAGAATATCTTAAAGAAAGTATCACCAGCCAACATTTCTTAGTATCTTTAGTAAGTATCGAATAAGTCTCTCAACACCAACCTATTTTGATTTATCATCGTTATATCATTCCAATGCACCACATCGCACAATTCCTCATCTTAAATATCACCACATCATCTCTCTCTCTCCCTCTTGCAAATATAATACGACGTTTTAATTATCCAACTGGACTAATGAGATCACACACGCAATCACACACCACGCCACGTCCACTTGTCTATTAAGCTATATCCACACACACGCACACACACTCATATGTATTTTTATATATACCCACGCACACCCACACACACTTGTATATATATATATATATATATATTTATATATATATAACATGAAAATACAAATAAATGAAATTCTTACATATAGATAGATCATATAAGCTTTGTTGGGCTTCCGAGTTTGCTTGCATATGTGTGTGTGATGCAGTGGTGCATTACTATGCATGCAATATTCCAACATCCATGTCTCATTTCATATATATATATATATATATATATATATATATTTATATGCATTTGTCACTATACAAATGTTTATTATGTGCTAGAAAAATATATTGTATAAGTAGAAGCCTATGATGTGTGTTGATTTGTTTGTACGGCGTTTTCTGGTCTCAGTGCTTTTACATCGATATTGGATACCTTATAATTTGTGGCGAAGAATTTGTTTACCTGTTTTGTTATAGTTTGTATAACATTTATAACATGGATCATAGATACATCGAGACATCTATGCATATGCAACGTAGATGAGATCTGTATATATATATATATATATATATATATATATATGTATGTATATATATGTATGTATATATATATATATGTATATATATAATGTGTGGTTTGGTTAATTGTTATGAATCAAGTTGATAGTTTGACGTCTGCTCTGCTCTTCCATTTCATTACTGGTTTTTTATTTTCTTTGAAGTTTTTTAACTTTTTCTTAAATTTCACTCTTAGTATTGTAGGCAACTATTTAAATATGAAATTGTTTTAAAGTTGAGCTTGCTACTGAAATTAACTCTTTATAACATTTTTTTCTTAATGAAGCTGTGTTAAACTTTTAACTACCATACTTTCCATCAGTACTGCAAATAAAAATTTGTTGTGAACACTTCTGGAGGAAACTACAAATGAATATCCCAAAAATTACATTTACAAAAAAATTAATTAAAAAATTAATTAAAAAAAAAAATTTTTATTTGAGAAATATTCAGAGCAATATTTATTGATCTCTTGTTACGTTATAATTTATAAGTGATCTTCACTAAGGCTTGATGATTACCTCTACTTCTTCATCCAATAATGTTCCAATCAAACAACACTTGGCCTGACTGGTCGTTGGTGACTCCAAATGATAATAACAATAGTAACTTCTATCATGGTTGGCTTTTTATTTTATTTAAGCATGCATTTATTAATTTTATTTCTTATAAATAATACATACATCTTTGTGTATATATGTATTGTGTACCTATTTGTGTGTTTGCGTGCGCGTGTGTGCGTGTGTGTCTTTATATGTCGGTTTACTTTCAAGTGGATTGCACTGTATTGCGTTGTTTCTCATTTTAGAGTCGTTGTTCTTTAAAATCTGCTTTGATGTTGTGGGTTTTTATATACTATGACGTCATAAACTTCAAAGTTCCATAGTTCCTCTTCCCGACTGATTATTATTATTATTATTATTATTATTATTATTATTATTATTATTTTGCCCTATTAACAAGCTCAAAGATATTTCAAGCATAATTTAAATTAATTGATCCTATGATGTTAATTACAAAATAAGACTTTAAATTTATCACTTTGTTTTGAATGCGTTTTTTTTTGTCAGTTGGGCCACGGCTTTGTCTAAACTTTAAGAAACGTATCAATCATCATCATCATTGCTATTGCATCATCATCACCACATCATCATCACTTTCGTTTTTATAATTAACATCGTCATCGTAACCATCACAGTCTTATCACGTCTTCGTCGTCATCATCTACAAACACAGGCCAGTCTCCGTTGCAGTCGAATCAAATGGTTAGGCCGCCCGGTCAGGTGCCAGCTGTGTTGCAGCCAAGATATCCAACACATCCTGGTGCTGTTCCTGGAGGGTTGGGAGTTAGGATTGTGGGGCAACAGGTTAGTCTCATTTGATTGGCCGGTGATTTGATTGACTTGTTGATTGGTTACTTGGTTGGCTGGCTTAGAGGCAGCTTGTATTATTTTATATGTTTGGTTGAATTATTCGTTCTCTGTTATTGGATCATTCATTTGCGTGATTATTGAGTGTTGATGTTCTTTGTACGCACGATTATTGAGTGTTGGTGTTCTTTGTACCTTTTCGCAATGATCATGCAGCTGTCTTACTTTCCTCTGCAATGTCCAGAAGAACATCCACAATCAACAAATTGACATGACTGCGTGAATGGTTGCATCGTCACTCACCTTTATGTTTGCTTTCTGATTCGAATTGTTATTCAAACACGATCACTGCTGCTTCTCTTCGCTCGTACGAACATTGGACATCTCATACGTTGGTTGTGGCTGTTTTCATCAGGTATTAAAAGGTGATGTCTTGATGGGTCAACAGCAGCAGAATCGTATGCCAGCCGTTGTACAGGCCAACCAAATGATGGCATCAGACCAGGTGGTTATGACGATGTTGATGATGGGGAAACGTGATGAAGATGACAGTGGTGATGTTGATAACATAACTATCAAATGATGGTGATGAAAATGGAGATAGTTAGATCTAGAAAGGAATGTTGCCAGATAGCTTACGTTATCATGTTAAAACGACTCCATCTAATTACAGTTATACAATACTTTTATTAACTTTCCTTAAAGAAAAGTTTACAAAAATAATTTATAAACTTTAGCATCGAATGTAAAAGGTTGATATATTTCTGATAAATAAATAACTTCGGCACATTTATACGAAACTTACGTAACTAATAACTTTTATAGTTAAAAGTGTATACAAATTTCATTGGTACAGTTTCAAGGTGGAATCCCAGGGCAATTCCAATCGCACATGCAGAGCAGGATGCAACAATTCAATCAGGTACGTTCAAAGAAATGGAAATCTTTTCTTAACAATTTCATTCACGCAAATAAATTATGCTTATAATCAAACAAAAAAAAGGCAAAATGACATGAATTATTTTGTGCTACAACAAAGATTGCAAAAAATATGTTGGCTTGCTTTTGGAAATAAAAGCAGCAGCGAAATGAAAAGGTCAAAAATCCAAAATAACAAACAGCCTTAATCAGCAAAAGACAAGCTGCAATTGTTAATTCCCAAACAGTTGGTAAATAAAAATATTTGGACAAGTAAATTTATACAAACATATCGTACGTATATAATAAATCCTCGCGTTCAACCAATTCTTTTTATTATACAAATAATAATAATTTGTTCGTGAGCTTTCCGACATTTAGTTGTTCTTCGAAGGATACATCCAACGATACTTACTTCGGTCCCACTTTAGTTTTTTACTTTACAATTTTTTTTATTATTGACGTGACCCGTCTACGGCCTGTCTTAAAATATTGATGAATAAGTTGGGGTAAGAATTAGAAACAGTATTCTTAAAAGTCATTCTTCGCATCTTTTCAATCAATTTAACAATTTTAAATTAATTGTAAGATATGTAACCCATTAGTTAGTTGGCCATTGAGTAAACTAGGCACATAATTGATTTGAATAGCAGGTGGCCGGCAGTCCAGGTGGCGGGCAGGCACAACAGCACCTACTGCCATCGCCTGGCTCCAGTATGACGGTCCCTTCACCGAGTAATTTGAATGCTGTCAACCCCTCACCATCCATGCAACAACAGATGATGATAGGTTTTTGAAGATGATGGTGACGACAACGATGATGGTGATGATGTGGTGAATAATGACGGTGATGAATATTTAACTTGCTGTTTTGTTCTCATTGATAATTTGGGGGGTTAGACTTATTATACACGCACACTGACACACACACACACACACACACACACATACACATACGTACAGGTACACGCATATATCCTCGCCATAATCTCCCTCAATATCATCATTATTGTTATCATTTACGTCATTCCATTTCATCATTATCTTCTTCTTCATCATCATCATCATTGACATCAATAGGTTTGTCACCATCATCTCGGATGTCTCTACCGTCACCTGGTAGTCATCTCAACACCCCTGGTTTGTTCGTTCGTTTGTTCGTTCGTTCGTTCGTTTGTTTATATTCATGATATTCAGTGCTTATGTTTGTTCATGTGTTTTGCTAGTGTGTCTGTATGCTTGTTTGTTTGCCTCATTTTCTCGTTTTCATTTTGTTTATCCGCTTGTTTATTTGTTTGTTTATTGATTTTATTGAATGTTGTTACTGCACATCCAACCTGACGTGTTCATTCTTTATCTTCAGTAGTAATTTACTTCTGCAATCTCATTCGCAATTATCAATTCAATGAGTTTATTTGAAATATTTGTAATAGGATGTTCAAATACACAAATACAAATAATTACCTCTGCTGTGCTAAATTAAGAAATAATCGCATTATTCAAAATAATAGTCAATGGTCGTTTTAAAATTGAAATTTTTTAATCACCTGTAGAACTTTTCATGAAATGTTTTTGTGATAATATTAATATTGAAATCTATATTAGTTATTATTTTCTTATTTTGATTAAATATATAACCTCCTGGTGCAATTGAACTTTCTAAAAAAAAAATTCAGCGAGTGAGGAGCAGGAATATTTGCAGAAGTGGGAGCAACTGCAGAAGTACCTGGAACCCCTGAAGAAGATGATTTTGAAGATTGATAAAGATGAAGGTTGATGATGGTGATGACGACGATGTGGTTGCAATGGTTGTGATGATGATGGGGATGTTGGTGGTGTTGATGACGATGATGATGGCTGTAATTGTGATGATGAGAAGGATGGTGGAATAAAAGGATAATGATTAATTGACACCTTTAATTTAATGTCAATATGGAATGAAAATGATAAACAGATAGGAAGATGGATATGAACAAGATGAAGAACCTACTGGATATACTGTCAGATAGGTCAAAAAGGTGGGAATATTTTTATAACCTTTTCACATTAATGTGTGCTGCTGAATGAGTGTACGTTTGAAGTTGTTGAATTGGCGTGTATCATAGTGTATAATATCATATCTTAGTATCATAGCTGATCACTCTCATACGCAGTTTCATTACTCCAATGATGGTGTTTCGTAATTTAACTTCATGTCTTCACTCAGTTTATCTAACAATGTTGAAGCTGCATCAAGTTCTTAGTTATTTATTTTTCCTTTATTTCTTGTCATAATTAGAGGTTCCAGACCTCATTAATTATAATTAATTCCATAGGCAAATTTAAGTATAAATCATAGCAGATAAATGATTTCTAAATTAAATTTTGTTGTGACTTCTATCGTGTCAAAAGTTTAAAATACTTAACGATGACGTCATATTTCCATTGCACAGGTTGCCGTTGAGTACCTTGCTCAAATGCGAATCAGTGTTAGAGAGGCAGCTGGTTTGTTGCTCATTATGATTGATTTAATAATTTTCTGATTGATTGCTGCTATCTTATGGGGGCTCTCTAATAGGGTTGATTTTTTTTATTTAATTATTTGTATTGTATTGCATTGCTTTGTAGACTTGTAAAGCGCTTGAGCTAGCTGTCTTCAGAGACGTTAAATAGTTGAAAAATATCGCCGATCAGCAAAAATGTTTATTATAAAATATCAGCTATATCTAACTAGTCACAAATACTCACAAAAAATAATATATCAATTAACTAATAGTCAGAAACGAATCATCATTTGAAACAGCGTTATTCAAAACACCATTTGACGACGATTAACACACAGAACGTCCCTTCTTCGCCGTCTGCAGCTGGTCATTCAGGGTCAGCTGGTGGCAGCAGCTCGTCAGCTGAGGAACCCCTTGCGATGGGCCAGGAACTGTACGATGTCCTGAAGGCCAACATCAAGAGGCCTGATTTCCACGACGTCCTCAAGAAAACATTTGAAGGGGCTGTCAGGTTGATCCCCATGCCCGAGCATATGTTGGTATTTCAGCTTTATTTGGGTGTTTGCTGTTATTTTTGTTTTATTGAGATATGTGGGTGTTTCCGTGTTGCTGATTGAAATATGCTGGCGTCTTTGAAATTTTCTGTTAGGAAATTTTTTGTGATAATTTTGCAGTGTTAAATCATTTTCATGGTTTTACTCTCAGAGAATACAAGAGAACGAAGTCAAAATTGCCGAAGTACTCTCCGGCTGTCAGACCTTTAAGGAAAACTGCAGAGTCATATACAAGCTCTGATCTCATTCTCCAGAGAAATGTGCTAGGAAATGACGAAATCAACGAAAGCATACAGAACGAGGTTGTCTCTTTAATTAATGGAATAGATTGATTTATTGATTGACAAATTGATTGAATTGATTGATTGTGTGAGTGATTGATTAATCGATTGATTCATCAGAAGATAAGTTTGCTGGATCTATAATTTATTTATCTTAGTCTGTTCAGGTGATTATCTAGTTACTGGAGAATTGAATAAAATTATGTGAAATAATTTTTTGTAATTGTCCTATTGAATGTGCAGGTGTTGTACCTAGATGATAGGTATCTCATTCAATTGGATACAATGCACATTACCGGATCAGAAAGCATTCTGCTATCTTGTACTTTCGGTTTGCCATGTTACGAATTAATATTATTTCATTAATTTGGGGAAATGTGCATTATTGCTTTTATCACTGCACCGCTTATCTCTTAAGTTTTTCAATGCAACTTTTAAGCAATTTTGTCAATTTTCGCGTGATATTTTTAGTTGTTTTAGCTCTTCCGACGTGTTTTTCTTTCATCATATTTTTATTATATTTTCATCATCTCATCATCTTGTCTCCATCATGCCATCATATTTCCACCTCCGAATTCTGACAGATGATCTAAATTTACCAAAAGTTCCAAGCCTGATCATCCAAGTGCCATCAACCTACCCTAACTCATTCAATCCTCAAGTCTTATATTTAGAGAACAATCTTGGTTAGCGTGATTTTAAGCAGACAACTGCTATGATCATTTTGATGCTGTGTGATTGAACATCATTTATGCCGTTTATAATGAATAGAGATTTAATACATTAGGTATTGTAATAATTTTGATCTTTATATAAATGGCTGATACTTGTTTTTAACAGATATCGGAATAATTTACGTGTTTTAATTCAAATTTTAAAGTTGTAGGGATAATAAGTCCGCTATAAAATTATAACTAATTTATTCCTTTACTCAATTCTTCAGTTTTGGTCATCTTTCTTCACCATGTTTTTTTCCTTCCCAGAGACTTCCCCGTTCTTCGATCGTTTGCGCGCGAACATGCTGCGAGAAGTGGGTCGCCTCGGTAAGAAACATTCCCTGACGGAGTTGCTCGTCTTATGGGTAGGAATATGTATGGCATGCATGGAATTAAGGGTGAATGGATAGATGGTTGGTTGGACAAATGAGTGGATAGATAAATAGGTATAGATAGTTGAGCGGTTAAGTGTTCGGATGTATGAATGAAAAGTTTGAACAAAAAATGTTTACATCGTTTTGAATTGTTTGATCATTAATACAGGAAAGAGTCATAAAAATGTCTATCACGACTAACACATCGTTAGAAGTCACGTCAGAATATCCACACCTTCCTGAAAGTTCCATCTCTGATTAAATTTGGGAGCACTTTCAAATTTTTTACACGCTATAAAATAACAGTATCGATCGATCAATTAACTGATTGGACGTTTTTTATTTTGTAAGAATTTTGTTGACATGCATTTTTTCCCTATATGTTTACATACATATATATATATATACATATTTGTTGTAAATTAGAGATGCACAGAATATTTGACTCCCGAAATTTGATAGTGGGTTTCGGCCATTTTTAAAGGCTGAAGAACCAAATGTTGCAATTTCCGTTTAAGCCGTCAATTTTTTTTATTTCAGAACATTAATGGTTGATTATTATTATTAGCAGAAAATTTATTTTGGACATCGCAGCTGTTAAAACATCTGGGTTTGAACACAAAATTTAATATTATTTCGATTATGTGTTATTGGCTAGACATGAATAGCCATTTTTGTTTTCATTCTAAAAAATTTTTTTTTTCAAAATTGTTGGTAATTTGGTATTCGGTTGAGTAGTAAATCAGATATTAAGTAGCAGATCAAATAATTTACTATTTGGTGCATATCTAATATAAGTACACATGAAATATATTTATATACATAGTTTGTTTGTAGAACATTGTGTGCGATTTTATACTTTGGTTCGTTGATACGCACACATTCTTCACTCACATGTTATATGCATTGAATATCAAAACGTAGAACATCACCGTTTAAAAAATACATCTAATGTATTTTGAAAAAACAAAATCATTGTCAAATTGATTTGGATAACCATGCCGATATGATCTGATTTTCGTTTACGTGCAAAGTTTCAGGACATCGTTGAAATATGTGCTAGCTGGGCAACTAAAAATGTAGCAGTACCCGTTCGAACACTGGATAAATTTTGCTGGGTCTATGTCAGGAAACAAAGTATTTGGATTGTCTGTAGTAGGAATGGCATTCGGGCAGGGATTGTTAAGAGCACAGTCGAAGCCATTTACCATAACAGTTGTCATTGACAATTTATCGGGGATAGTTGCTGTGGTTGGTAATTCATTGGTAGTTGTTGGTTGTTTAGTTGCTACAGTCGTCTCAGTGGTTGGTTTTGGCGGTTCGAACAGAGCTTCAAATGTAAAAAAATATATTGGTTGGTTAATATATCGCAGATAATTTTGATGTGAACAACCACGTCATTATGCCAAGCACATGAAAGCAAAGAAGCACATTTTTATTGAAGAACTATTAATATTCTTTTATTAAATAAATTACAATTTTTTTTAATAAAATGTCAATTATTTTTATGACCAACCATTATTGACGTAAGCGAGAAATCCATTGATTTGAAGAACATGTTGGCAGTTAGAAGATGGAAACAAGCGACAATCTCCAGCAGTTCCATAGACATTACTCTGGTAATAATAATTGAATCTTCTGCAGGTCGGTAGGATGCTGCAATAAGCTGCACATCTTTGCACTGATCTTACGGAGTATTGTGTTGTTTCTGATGTGTCGGGATAACATGTGGACGATGGTGCTGTTGGTATCTTGGTGTAGGTCGATGATATGGAAGAAGAGAACGATGGTGATAAAAAAAATAAAAAGAATGACGTTGAAATTAAAACTTCTTTGATGATTGATTTCTTGTTGCACTTCACGAGTTTCATAGTGGCTAGGATTAGCATTAATGATGACTACTACTATTTGGTGGGTTTCGCAAAATTTAATTAAAATGTATGTTTTTTCTATTATCGTTATGAATTTATTTATAGAATTAACCTGAATTTATTATTTTGAGTTAATTTTATCATTGAAAAATTCTCATCTAGAAAATCAAATTAATAAATTGGTTTTCATGATCAAGTGAAGATATAATTTTTCTGTAAAATCGAAGATACAAGCAGAACAATCCAAGTTTTTATTTTATACCGTAGCGAATGTTAACATGTCATCCCTATGCTATGGCATTCTAGTGTATAGAATTTACTTTCTTGCATACAAAAATATATACCATGTATATGTATTTTCTTCAGAAGTTTTTTTCATACATTTTCTTCAACTCGTATATGCGACTCTTAATATAATGCGCACATGTATCGTGGACGAGAAGTTGTCGGGTCCTAATATACCGTAGTTTGATGTTTGCTACTGGGTTTCAAAAAATTGTTTGTGTTTTTAAATGAATATATAAAATACTGAATCCAGACTGACTGCACATTTTGTTTGAAAGGAGTTTATGAAGCTGGCGGGACTTGAATCTGGTCCTCCACAAAAATTATCCAATTTATAACGGGTCGCAACTTTTATTTTCTTCCCAAACTTTGACAAACTGCTACATTTTTTTTGAAAAGCTTGGCGGAAAAAGGTACCCTTTTCATTCTGAAAAATACGAGACACGAGCTTAATGACGCACTCAAGTATGCACTTGTATCTCATTTTCTCATATATATATATATATATATATATATATATATATAATATTGTTTCAGGATGTATTTGGACTGGGACTCACGTACCTTGATACGTGCATCTGATCACGCACGAATCGCTTTATTGCAGCGGTTTGTTTTATTGATTGCTCGACAAATCTATATCCGTTTTTAGAATTGAGCTGTCAAGGTCGTTGTAAGTTGTCCAAGGTTTAATCGGGTGTCACTTAATTTAAAAACGAATAACTTTAATCTATGCGTTTTGATATTCGTGACCATGAATAGACACACTCCTAAGTATTTGTCCAATAAACTCAAAATGAAATCATTTCTTAGTGTTCAGCAGTTTGAAATAGCTACCAGGGGATATGAGAATGTCTGTATTAGGCAATGATCAATGATGTTAGTTTTTCTAAGAAGAAACTAAAAAATTATTTATTTGAACTGTGATGTTAAGTTTTCATTGTTAATTTCATTTGCTTTAAATGAACTTTTGCTTTTGCTTTTCTTTGAATGTTCGGTTCTATTTTATTAGTGTGCGTCTCATCCATTCCCATTTTTGAACAGATAATTTTGAGAATTTTATTTTCATTTGCTGTTTTTTAAATTTTATTTAACAAGAATAACAACAACAACAATAATAACAATATATTAATATTATTATTGATATTATTATTACTAATATTATATTAATGATTATGATAATGATAAAGACGATGTCAACATGCACAAGCACTATTGATGCACTTACTAACGTATGGTGCGCACTTTAGACCATTCCAAAGAAACGTACGGTCCAAAGAAATTTATTCCAATTTTTAAATTCTTATTGTTTTCATAATTTTAAGTTATTTTTAATTATCATTTTATTTATATATTTTTCATAATACATAAGATAACACAAAAGAGAGAGAGAGAGGGAGAGAGAAAGGGGGGGGGAGAGAACAGAGATAATGAGGATAATGAAAAGACGTCCATAACAGCAATAAAATAACACATTAACTTTGCACATAAAATTGTACAATTGTTGTGCCACATTCTCATACTTGTCATCTCATTCATAGAAATAACAAGGAAAACCAGTGTTAAGAATTACTTTTTTTTTAATTCCACGAATTCGTTTATTCCAAAAGAAATAAAACAGGCAATCAAAAAAGCAAGCTTGTGCAGACTACCTTAACTAAGTGCATAAAAGTAGAAAAATAAAATATATACATACATATATACTTAGGAACGAAGTTTTCATTAATACATATTTTGTTAAATTTATTTGCCCATTTTGCATTTA